TGGGGGGGGAGGGGGGGGGGTGAGCGAATTTTACCTTAAACCCTGAACCCTAAACCCCCTAAACCCTATAAACCATAAGCCCTAAACCTGAACCCTGAACCCCCTAAACCCTAAACCCTGAGCCCTCACCCTAAACCCTAAACCGCGGTTGGGGATCCTCCAAAGCTTCTGAAAATTTGCGAGGGTCCATGAGTAAGTTAGGGCCTTGCTTGAGGCTGGGGAGGACCTCGTTTAAAAACATGAGCCATAGTCTAAACTTCTAGTATGCCCCTTAGTAAACCCTGCTGCTGTAGTAGTAGTAGTAGTAGTAGTAGTCCCCTATATAACATATTATATGACACCCCTTTTCAATCACACACGAGAACCCATGGGTTGGTAAAGGTTCACAGTTTAGGGGTTCGGGACTTGACCCAGATGCTGTACCCCGAAACCCTCCATGACAAGGAAGATTCCTGTGAGACAATTCTACGCAGCTAGGCACAAACATTTAGATTTTCACGATTTGGGCTTTCAAGCTTTCTTGTGCTTACCGTTCCCTTTGGCAGAGAACGAAAACTCTTGAAGCAATACAACGGAAACCCGCACCCCAAGATCCGTAGAGGCGCCCTAATGCGGACTCAGTTGTTGCTTTGTATGTTTAAGGCGCAAGCTTCATCAACACGCCTCTACCCCCGTAGAAGTTCGAAGAAAAGGAGGCCGCTGCACACTCCCACTGAGCACTCTAGGGTCCCCTTTAAGGATCCTATATGGGTGGCTGTCAAAATTATGGCCCCTTTTTGGGTACCCTTAATACAAGGTGCCGTATCATAATAGGGATCCAAAAAGGGACCATAATTTTGACAACCATTCATATGAGCTTTTCTCCCATTGCTGAGAGCCACCCATACCCAAGATGTAACCAATGATCCACTGCACACTCTTGAATCGAGCCATCTGGTCCGGGGTGGAGAAACCTTAGATCCAGGGGAGTTCTGGGCGCAGGACATGCGTGCGTAGGGGCAGTAGGGGGAAGGATTTCGGGGAGGAGCAGGGAGAAAACTGGTCTACCAAAATATCTGTTCTCACTACTCCCCGCCACATCCCTTGATTGGCAGGTTGTTGTGGGATTTCACCCTATCCAGGATCCCAACTCACATCGCCGCGCTTGTGAATCATGTGGGCACAGAGGATTCACTGAAGGAAAACGTGAAAAATCCTAGCGAAGCCCAAAAAACGAGAGTCCACGTACTCCTTGACTGGCATGAACCCGCCAACCAGCGTAAATGCCATAAGCATCATCAGTGGCACCAAGTCTGAAACTGCCACTGACAAGTTCATGATGATCAAGACGCTGTAGAGGTAGACGAGAGAAATCTGGGAATTTAGGAGTTTCTAATATTTGCGGGTAGCTTTGGGTATTTAAGGACAACCTGGGGCTTAAAGGGAGGTTCCTGTCCTGGCAGCACTGATTTTTACCACTCTGTAGCACTCCTTCGCGACCAAACAAATCATTGATGCAACAATTCAGATTCCTTACTTCTTCAAGCTACTGCTTTGAACCCTAAGCCCTAAACCCTACCATATTCCTGACTTGCAAATGCCTTCCCAAATACCGCCCAGACTCCGTCATCATGCGGGTGAAGCCAATCCGGAGGCAGAGGGCCGGAACTACGCCAAAAAACACCAGGAATAGAGGCTGGACCAAAATCAGCAGCACCACCTGGAATCTAGGGTTTAGGGTTTGTAGGCCTAGAAAATGTTCTCAAGCACATGACTGCGCCGCCAGGTGGGTGTTGCCTTGTAAACACAAAAAAAAGCCGTCACGAGTTTGAGTACAACTTACTGTGTCACATTGAATACTCGGGGCAGGGTTCCGTATCACTGTATCACCCGCGTTGAGCACAGACCTCCTTCTGACCAGTATGGGCTTGTGTCAATATTCTGGTGGTGTGTCCCCTGTATACTACGAGCCCAGGTTTTTTAGGATGCCCAGAAAAGGACAAACATTGTGACAACCCCTGCATACAAACTGTTGCTTGATACGTGTGTTTTCTCGTAACGGCAATGGTCACTACAAGAACTCACCACTTGAAGGAGTTAAGCGCAGTAAAATGGCAACTGCCTAACATCATCAGCAACAGTCACATGCTGGTCTTCTCACACCATATGGGTAGCTCTCAAAAAGTCAGTCTTCCATTTAGTACGCTTGGATATTCTGTGCGCCGCAGTGTACTCTACAGGCTAAAGCCAAAAGAGGCCCATAATGAAACCCAAAACCCTAAACACTAAAGTATAATCTACCATCCGGCCCATAATTTTGACAGCCACCCATTTGAGGATTTCTCATGCTAGGGGTCCCTCAGGGGGCATTACAAAGGGTGTATGGGGGGTGCACCCTGAAGGACTGACTGAATGATTAGGGCTTAGGGTTTAGGGTCTAAGGGTTTAGGATGTGGGGTTTAGGGATGCGAAACACCCATTCTGGAATCCCTGCAGCTGCAGGTTTTATCTTGTGTTCAGACCCATCACAACGCACTGTCGTCCCCGACACTGAAAAATAAAAATCTTGAAGCGCACACAGCTGCGATAACTTTCTCATGGCAATGGGAACATTAGCCGACTCAATCACTGCACCAGCCTGCAAAACCAAATCTTTAAACCGACCCTAAACCCCAAGATCTAAAGCATCAACCATGAACTCTAAAAACCCTAACCCTAACTTCTGGCCCAGCTTGGCAGTCCCAAGCATGAATCCTGAACCTAACATAATCCCCGCCCTAAATAATCATGAAATGAAAAACCTCGCTAGTATAATGGTACTAAATTGGAATATCTAATGTGGACCCCCACCCTTAGTGGCTATAAGGGATAATAAGGACTATATTAGGGTCCTGGTTTCTTCCCATTATACCGCTATTACAGTGTAGGGCGTCCTCCGAAGGAATATCTGGTACTGGGGGAGTGGGCAGGATTTATTGCTACGTGAGGAGTATCTAACTCCACCGGACTCCTGCTTGAAGCTCCAAGATCCCTCCAGCTCAGCCCTAAACCCCAAATCCTAAACCTGGGGTCAACCCCCCACCCAGTAAAAGGTGCCACTAAGAACTATTGTAGGTATATCAAGACCCCATTAAGTCCATACTAGGGAGACTGTCCTAAGCTATAAACCCTGCATCTCCATGCCCAGCTGCTGCACTTTGCGACCAACCGTGGTAAGCCATGAGCTGGATTGGTACGATGCCAAAGCTGTGCATCCAGCATGGTTCGATGCACACCATGAGAAGGAACCGCCAGGATAAGGGGTTGTACCACACGTCCTTGGAATCTGCTCCCTAAAGCCAAGCCCTGAACCCTAAACCGAAACCCTAGACCGCCGTTGTGCGTGTGGGGCTGGGGTAGCTGAGCATCTGTCAAGAAAGGGAGGGGTACTCTCTCTGCCTGTTAATAAGTACTGAGTACCATGGCGGTCAGAAACACGAAGTGTAACAACTTCCCGGAGGCCGGGAGCGCAGAATGAAAGCAGTATAAATCCCGACCCCTGCGAGGGCCACAGATTAGTTGCCCTATATCAACCCTGAAAAGCCCGATATGGTATACTTCTCCAGGCTATCCTAGGAGATCTGCTTTTCATCCCCTTCAAAAGTTTGGACAACTGTTGTACGGCCAAGCTCAAACCCCAAACCCCTAAAAGCTGTTAGGAACTGTACCGGAGACTGCCCAGCGTCCTTGTAGGATATCACTTCGCGAACAACCTTCGAGAAAGCACCAGAGGCCGAGTGATCATCGTCATCTTTCCTGGCTTGACATTCCTAAACCTAGGGTTTAGAGTCTAGGGCTTACAAAGGTTCTTGGGGCTTACTCATCTTTCCTTGTGTGTGTTCCCCCTGCCTAGGTTGCTTCAAAGCTCCTTGTAGCTCCTGTGGCTTCGAAGCAGTTGGGAAGCTTAAGGGCACACCGCTAAAGTCTATTACTAAAAGCTAAGGGTAAAGAAATCCCGCAACCCCTGAAGCGAAATCCGCATCAGCAGCCGGGCTTCTTTTCTGGAGGTATGTACATGGACCTCAGCCGTCTTTGCAAGTGGTCAACATCTGGGCGGAGAGAAGAACCGGGGGTACGGGAATTTCTACGGCGATCAAATATCCTAGACCCCAAACCCTACCTAGACCCTCCAATGTAGTTCCTTTTGGGTTTGGTATGGTTTTTTGGTTAGTACTTAGTATTCTTGTTAGGGCTACCAAAAAGGTACTACATCGGAGGAAGCCCGCCCTGATTAAATTATTGCCGTCCTTCCTCAAGGAATCCCCACTAAGGAGCAAATCACAACCCAATTTGGGCCCATGCCCGAATTCTGCGAAGATACTCGGGCATGAGAAAAAGGGCCACCAGAAACACGGAGAGGTTGACTAGCAGGATGATGATCCAAACTGTTGAATAGTTGACCAGCTCCTGGGCTTTCAAGGGGAGTTTAAAAGCTGGGGTGGCCTCTAAAACCCTTGAAAAATATTAGTATATAGGGTCCCTTATTATAGCCATTAAGGAACATATTAAATATCCCAGGGGCCTACCCAGGAAGTTGGAGGTTGGGGGTTGGGGGTGGGGCGTAGGGTTTAGCGGATTTTGAGTCTCGGAGTTTAGTGTTCGGGGGAACATCTGGGACTTTCACGAAAGTAAACCTACGGAAAGCTGTAGAGCCGCGCTGTGTGCTTCCCATATGTGTCCAGGGTTCCTAAAGACGCCCATGTGGCAATCTCCATGTAAGCATGACATGACAGGTGACGATGATAAACATAACATAAAGTTTGGAATGTGGATTAGCCCAGACGCAGCAACACTTCTTCTTCAAAGCCCCGTGATGAACCTGAAGGAACACCCATAACATCCCACAACTACCTTTTGAAGGGGTGCTACTGTTTGCATGGGTGGGCATGGGTGGTACAGGCCAAGGCCTTGGGGAGCACGGGCTGAGGGTAAATAAAACTCTCTCCTCAGAAGTTGGACAGCCCGGCTTCAATTGAATGAATCATGTTCTGTTTCGGGTTGAACCCAGTGCATTACACTCTTCTAGCCACAAGATAATAGCAAACAAGACAACATAATCTTAACATGTCTTGAGACTGTAGTATAGTATTCCTGTGTGAAACTACTGGTCGGTTGCCTGCCAGCTTGCCTTTGAGAACGAGGCATTTTCTGGCAAGTTGACAGAAATGAGCGCACGGAGATGCGACGTCTCATAGTGGGCTATGGGAAGCCTCATCAGAGCAATGAGCCTGGCCACTCATTTCAGCACACAGACTACTGAAACAAACCCTAAACCCTAAATCAACTTGGCTGGCTACAGCCAGCCCCAGCATCCGGACTCCCTGACATCTGCACCCTGTAGGAATTCTCCTGGCAAGTAAATTACCTCTCACAAGCAGGATTCACCCACCTTAAACCTTGCTCAGCCTCGTGGTTGCAGTGTCCGTTTAGGGTTTAGGGATTAGGGTTTAGGGTTTAGGGATTAGGGTTTAGGGTTTAGGGTCGAGGGTGCCTGAAGTTTACCACTTTAGCGCAGAACCGCGTGGGAGGCACCGGCCTGCTCTTCCACTCTCCTTTCCTGGGAGGTCCCAAGCCTCATTCCCAACCTCTAAGGCCTTAAACCTTAATCTCTAAACCCTAATCTCTAAACCCTAAACCCTAATCCCTAATCCCTAAACCCTTAACCCCAATCCCTGAACCCTGAGCCCTAAACCCTAATTCCTAATCCCTGACTTCTAAAGTCCCCTCAACCCTTCAGCCTTATCCCTCGGCACCGAGCAGAGAGCCCTAAACCCAAAAAGCAGTCCCAGGGTCCAGGTACTGCACGCAATTGCCCAGGATAGGACCCCAAAGAAAGTTGCCAATGGTGTCAAGGAGGCCCTTAACCTGCACGTTGCATGCATTGCATGCTTGCGGAATTTTAGTGACAGACTATACTGCATGTAAGTCGTGTAAAGCCTCAATCCTAGATCAAGGTTACAACCCCGCCCCACCACATGGAATTACAAGTCTGTGCTAAAATCGTAACCATTAAACTCTGAAGCCCAAACCCTAAACCCTAAACCAACCATGAACGCTGAATCCCGAGCCATGACCCCTCAACACTACATCTGCAAACGACGCTCCATCCCAAATGCACCTCACACAACTTCTAAGCTTCCAAGCTGGCTACTGATGTCAAGGGGGAGTGGGGGAGTGAGCATAATGGATTATTCTAGGGGATACATGTATAGTTTAGGGGCGCCCCACCCTGTAATAGTCGTATAATCGGACTAGTAAACTAAACCATAAACCCCTATCCATGAAACCCTAAAACCTAAACCCAAAGCCCTATAAGCCCTAAACCATGAAGCCAATCAATCTCACCCACTCTCCCGCCTGGTAAGTTGCCATACCACCACCCTTGACTGAAAGATCGAAGATGATGAGGCCTGCGCGTTTTAGGTGTTATAGGGTTTAGGGTGTATAGGGTTTGAAGGTGTTAGGGTTTGGGGTTTAGGGTTCAGGGTTTAGGGTGCATGAATTAGTACATGAATGAATCTCTCCGCCTGAGGTTCCGGCTCTAAGGCATGGGAACGGGGACCCCTAATCGAACGAGCGAGTCAAGCTGCCGCC